CAGTCCCCTGGCAGCCCTTAGAACGTCCATCCTGAGGGCAAAGACGACGTTTATTATATAATTATTACGTCCTCTGGTGGGACGGACGTCTAGTAGGCTGAAAACAAAGAACGTTTCAGTCCCCATGGTCAGCCGTTGGAACTTCCGTCCTGAGGCAAGACGGACGGTTTATAATAAATTATGAACGTCCGCCTGGGGAGACGGACGTCAGTAGGCTGAACAAGTGAACGTTTCGTCCCATGGTCGTCGTTAGAACGGCCGTCCTGGGACGGGCGCGGACGTTTAGAATATTATAGATGTCCGTTCTGGGAGGGCGCGGACGTTCACTAGGCTGCACACTGAACGTTTTCAATCCCCATGTGTCAGCCACTTGAAACGTCCGTCTTGGGAGGGCGCGGACGTTTATAAATATTATAACGTCCGTCCTCCCAAGACGACGTTCACTAGGCTGAACACTGAACGTTTTCAATTTGCCATGTTTCATCCACTTGAACGTCCGTCCTGGGAGGGGGCGGACGTTCACTAGGGTGCACACTGATTTGTTTCATAACCCCCATGTGTCAGCCCACTGAACGTCCGTTCCTGGGAGGGCGCGGACGTTTCACATAGGGTGCACACTGAACGTTTCAACCCCCATGTGTCAGCCACTTGAACGTTCATCTTGGGAGGGTGCGGACGTTTTAATAATATTATAGCGTTCCGTCCTCCCAAGAACGGCCGTTCACTAGGCTGAACACTGAACATTTCAATTGCAATGTGTCAGCCACTTGAACGTCCGTCCTGGGAGGGCGCGGACGTTTATAATATTATAGACGTCCGTCCTGGGAGGGAGCGGACGTTCACTAGGCTGCACACTGAACATTTCAACTCCCCATGGTGTCAGCCACTCGAACGTCCGTCTTGGGAGGGCGCGGACGTTTATAATATTATAGACGTCCGTCCTCCCAAGACGGACGTTCACTAGGCTGAACACTGAACGTTTCAATTGCCAATGTGTCAGCCACTTGAACGTCCGTCCTGGGCGGGCGCGGACGTTTATAATATTATAGACTTCCGTCCTGGGAGGGCGCGGACGTTCACTAGGCTAACACTGAACGTTTCAACTCCCCATGTGTCAGCCACTTGAACTCCGTCCTGGGAGGGCGCGGACGTTTATAATATTATAGACGTCCGCCCTGGGAGGGAGCGGACGTCTATAACAGTATTAAATATTGTAAACGCGAACCCGCGAGCAGTTACGCTCGTCTTCTCCCCGCGAACTGCTGTCTGCTCCTATTGATTTTCCAGGTGCGTTTTCTCTTTTTTGGACCTTTAAATTAACTTTCAATCCATTACATTGGCTCTGTGATGAAATACCTTTGATTTGAAACCGATTAAAAATCGTTTTCCGGTACTTTTTTTTGCATCTCTTGTCAGTCTCTTGCGTGTTCTTGGGCGGATTCTTTGACTGTTTTTGGGCTACGTTTTATGCCGTTCCCTCCTCGATTTCCCTCCCTTTGACTTTTTCTGGGCTACATTCTTAGGCCGTTCCGGCAGTGCACAAACGGACGTCCAACCCCCCAGCCCCTACCACTAACAATACAGCCAAGTAGACGTCAAGGGTCGAGGTGCCGGACGTCTATATGGACGTCTATATAGACGTCCGGCCTGACACAACGGACGTCTATATAAACGTCCGGCCTGACATAGCTGACGTTTATACAGACGTCCGGCCTGACACAACGGACGTTTGTATAAACGTCCGGCCTGGCACAACGGACATCTACATAGACGTCATCCTCATAGACGTCCGTTGGAGGTCGGATGTCAAAAGGCCCACAAAACGGACGTCTATAACCCGTTCTGCACTAGTGGATATTGGCATTAATTTGTTTTGCTACATGGCTAGATATGAACTTCAAACCTTTTGGATTTGCTTTGACAACTTTTTCCCCTATGGTTGTCGTCGAAAGTACTATTAGCATTTGAATTAAAAAAAGTTATTCTAATAATAAAAAATAAACAAATATTGAATGATACATAATTAGGCCTCTAGGCTGTATTAACCAAAATTGCAACTGTATTAACCGGATGAGTAGATTGTATTAACCATTGGTAAATAGGTTCTTTTGAATCTTTTTCGGACAAACCCATTGGTAAAAAATAACTGATTTAGAATGTGTTTATATCCATATCATAAAATGTTTTTAATGGATTAAATATTTCAAGATAATTTAAGTTTAAGACTTGGTTCAGTAATTGTAGTTTGTAGGACTAGGTAACAGGTGTACTAGTATTACCTTAATTTTTGTTACAGGATTAAAATTCTATGATTTTATTGGTTACTACAGTGCAGATGCCTAATTATATATTGTTCAATAGAAGCTAGCCTTAAGGGTGTCTAATGTGTGATGTGCAAAGAAGTACATTTGTCAATAGATCTGTTAGTGAACTTGGTCTTATTTGTTTTGCTACATTGGACTCACTTTGAAAATTTTTTCCCCTATGGATGTCGTGAGTACTCTTAACATTTGAATTAGACAAAGTGATTATTATAATAAAAAATAAAGGCATTTTGACTGTATTAACCAAAAAACTAACTATATTAACCCGATTATTAACCTGTGTTAACCACTAGTAAATAAGTTGTTTTAAATCTTTTTGGGACAAATCCTAAACTCTAAGTCAAGTTTCTAGTGTGTGGTGTCGAGAGTAGTACGTATGTAAACCTATTTTGATCTCTTAATGATATTGGCATTAATTGTTTTTGCTACATGCCCAGATATGAACTCCAAACCTTTTGGATTTGCTTTGACAACTTTTTTGCCCCATGGTTGTCGTCGTGATTACTACTAGCATTTGAACTATACAAAGTTATTCGTATAATAAAAAATAAACAAATAGAGAACGATACATAATTAGGCCTCTAACCTGTATTAACCACAATTTCAACTGTATTAACCGGATGAGTAGATTGTATTAACCATTGGTAAATAGGTTCTTTTGAAACTTTTTCGGACAAACCCATTGATAAATAATAACTGATTCTGAATGTGTTTAGATACATATCATAATTTTTTTTAAATAAATCAAATTGATTATTATTATTATTATTATTTTTTATTATTTTATTTTTATTTTAAATTTTTAATATAATTATTATTATAATATAAATCATATTTTAATAATTATTAAAATATAAAATTATATCAAATAATATTTGAATTTTAAATTAAATTAGATTATTATTAAGGTGGTTGGAGGTGTAGGGTGAAACACCCTTGAGCTGATAAGCATGGAGCTGAAAGGGATACACAAGCTGAATTGGGTTGATGCTGATCTGTTTGGATTTTTTTAACTGTTACACATGAGATTATGAAGAAAATGTTGTGCCGCACTACTGCAATTGAAACTGGCAAATGAAAGATTGGGCTGCGATAGAATGTACTTAAGCTGCCCGTTTTGGATATTGAAGAAAAGAGAAGAGTGTTTCATCCTGCAACTCCAAATGTTTCATCTTACACCTCCATTTTTTTTAAAATACCTACATTGCCCATCATTAATACTCATAATTAAGAGGATTTAAAAATTAAAAGAAAAAGTTAGAAGAAAAAATAAAAAATGGTCAAAGATTCTGGCAGAGATATTATTCCCACGCTTTCTCTCTCTCATCTCATTCATTCTGAATCTTTGCATTTCATTTCTCCAAATGCCACACAGCACCAGGACCCTATCTGCGTTTCCTCTTCCATTGTCACACACACAGGTTGTCCATTATCGCAGACAGAGGTCGTCCATTCTCGCACAGAGGTTGTCCGCTAGTCGTCACGCGAAGGGCAGAGAGATAGAGGAGCTCATCCAGCGCCGGCCAGTGCAGAGAAATACCCACTCACATTCCCTTTGAGCACCCAACGAAGGTTGGTTTGTGTTGTTTTTTATGCTGGTAGAAATTGGTTATGGAGATCCGATGAATGCTAAATCAGTTATGGAGATCCGACTGAGCCCTTGTCGACTCTCCATACCCGATTTTATGTTGATTTTTTTAGTTGAATTATTTGAAATGTTATTATTTTAGATGTTCTGTTATAATAATTATTAATTTGGTTTTAATTTTTTTAAATGTTATGTTATAATTATTTTAAATTTTCTGTTTTAATTTTTAAATTTATTGTTATATTTGAAATAATTATTTATTGATATAAAGAAATAATTTTATTCCTTTTAATAAAATAATTTTAATTATTTTAATTTTCCGTTTTAATTTTTTAAATTTTTTGTGATAATTATTTTATATTTTGTATTATAATTATTTTAAATATTTTGTTATAATTATTTTCATATTTCTGTTTATTTTTTTTTAATTTTTAATTTATAGTTATTTGATTTTTATTTGAATAAAATTTTTATAATTGAATGAATTATTTATTTATACAAAGATTCGAATAAATTTTTTTTATTTTTAATTAAATAAATTTAAATATTTTAATTTATCTGTTTTATTTATTTTATATTATTTGTTTGAATTATTTTATATTTTCTGTTTTAATTACTTTAAATACTTTAAATATTCTGTTATAATAACTTCAAAATTCGTGTTTTAATTTTTTTAAATGTTCTGTTCTAATTATTTTAAACTTTCTGTTATAATTTTTTAATTTATAGTTATTTGATTTTTATTTTAATAAATTTTTTTTAATTGAATTAATTTTTTATTTATATCAATATTTGAATTAATTTTTTTTCTAGTTAAAAGATTTGTTGTTATTTTTTTTTTGTGAAATATTAGATTTTTACAGTTAGTTAAAAATGTTTCAATTACTTTTTGTAATTATTTGCAATATTTATAATTTTGGTAGAGATTTAAGTTATTTTGTTTGTAATAATATATTATTTAATTTTATAATGAATTAGTTAAATTGATTTTATTTAAAATAAATTGTTTTGAATAATTTAATATTTTTTAGTAGTGATTTTTTTTAATTATTATAATATTATTGTTAATAAAGAAATTTAGAATAGATATGGCTCGTACTCGAGGAGGTTCCTCTTCACATCGCGGAGAGAGTTCGTCACAGGGTGAGAGGCGGAGACCTATAGCTTCTGCTCGTAGAAGACGTGGAGCAGTTGAGTCTGATATTCATGTTGAGGACCATGGAGATGTGAGGTTTCACGAGGATGCAGTTGAGGATCATGAGGATGTTGCTGAAGGTGGATTTCCTGGAGGTCCATTAAACTCTTCAGTATTGACACATTACATTCATCATGTTGCTTATGCGATATGGCAGGGTCGGGTAAGTGGAAAACTTTAATTTTAATGAATATTGTTTAGTTGAATTAATTTTATCGCTAAATATTATTGTTTAGGAACGGCAGGAGATCAAGTTGATCTCCCATGGGAAGAAGTTAAACAGATTAGGATCCTGCCACGAGGGCATTAGAGACATCGTTAATGGTTCTGGTCTGATGTCTTTGGTGGGCATGTCATATGACTATGTCGATAGGGGTCTATTGCTGGCATTTGTAGAGAGATTTCATTTCGAGACTTGCAGTTTTCATCTCCCCGTGGGTGAGATGACTTTGACTTTAAATGATGTGTCATCGTTGTTGCACCTCCCAGTTTTAGGGCAGTTATGTCATCTAGAGGAAGTAGATTTTGAAGACAGTAGATGCGGCATTGTGGAGCTTTTAGGCGTGGATGGCGGGAGAGCTAGTGCTGAGTTAACTGCAGCTCACGGTGTGAAAGTCAGATTGAGCTGGCTTCGAGACATCTATGCTGAGCACTGTGAACAGCAACAGTGGGAGTATGCTGCCCGGGCATACTTGTTGCATCTAGTTGGATGCAATATATTTGCTGATAAGACTGCAACATCCATTCGCGTGTCTTATCTTTTGCTCTTTAGAGACGTACACATATGTGGTCGATATGCGTGGGGCGTTGCTGCACTAGTATACATGTATGACCAGCTAGGAGATGCCAGCTTGGCTTCGACCAGACAGATGGCAGGTTATTTGACTCTGTTACAGGTAGAAATTTAGTTTACAATTTGATTTGATTGAAATTTTTCGATGTCGATTATGAAATAATGTATAATTTTTTGTTTGGTAGAGTTGGATATATGAGCACTTCCCTACATTGGGAAGAAGGCGTATGGTGTCTTCGTACATGGAAGACAGACCTCGTGCTGCAAAGTGGGAGTCACCGAGGCAGGGTTCCACCCTCTTAGAGGTCAGGGTACACTTGGATGCGCTTACATATGATTTAGTCATTTGGTACCCTTATGAGTCACATCGGGAGAGTCGTCCTTTTTACGGCGTTTGTATGTTCTCGGGATGGATCAGGATTGGTGAGACATTGTGTCGACATTTGCCTGAACGTGTTTTGAGGCAGTTTGGATTTCAGCAGTCCATCCCTCGAGACCCACCTGTTGTTGCAAATGCGGACATACTGGTGACCGATGATGTGTGGTTGCACTATCGTGATCACGTTGTTAGGGGTGTGTCCGTAAGTAGATTCCCATCTGATTGTGTTGATGGTTACCTTGCTTGGTTTAGGATCATATCTCATCCTTACATTATTCCTGCTGATGACGACCGACCGAGTCTTGCTCCCAGACTCCGACGTGACATTCCTGATGAAGTGCCGCAGCATCGTAGATCGGCTTCACAGTCTGGTTTACTGGTATGTTTGCCTATATTATTTATATTATATAATTTTGTTGTGATTGTTTATATAATTATGTGTCATCGTTATAATGCAAGGTGTAGTCAGGACATTTGGTAAAAGGTTACAACAAATGCTCTATTGTAGGGAAATTCCCGAGGGGACGATAGGATACACTCATGCACGGGAGCTACTGGATTTAGCTGACGCAGTCGTTAAAGAGTACTCACCCACCAGGATAGCTGCCAGGAATGTTCGTGACAGGCATATTCGTGGAAGACGATCTACTTCAAATTGAATTAGCTTTCATATTTTTATTGTATCCCATTATATAATTATTTTGGACTCATTTTCTATGTTATTTTTTTCCTGTAAAATAACATTAAATTTTAAATATGCATGATAGTTAACTAAAACAACATTACATAAAACAACATTAAATCATGAATCCACTAAGTCAACATAGGAGGTAGAACACCCATCAATTCTGAAAATGCTTGCATCCTATTTGTATACGAATATGACCACATTCGCGCCTCTGGATAACAATTATTTGAGCATATCACATCTGTCATAGGCAAAGGACAACCATCTTGTAGTTGAACCTGTAAATTCCCTATTAGTAAAAAAATCTTATCACGTTGCAATTAAACATAAGAAAAATAATGTTACCTGTACGAAATGATTGTCGTTAACATGTCCTATACATACTAAGTGATGTTGTCTTACATCAGAAGGCGGTCTGGTACGTAGTGGGAATATCGTATAGTTCTGACTATGTGAAAGACAAACTAGGATGACGTTATAGCGATTAACAATTGCATACCCAATGTCTGGTATAGTCATCCACTTGGTTGCATTAGCCTATAAGGAATAAAACAAATTGTTATGATAAAACTAATAAAACAAATAATAAATACATTGTGAAGTATATGAACGCGTACCGCTCACTGTGGGTCCACCATCAAAGACCTCCTGAGCTGTTCTAGTCTATCATAGCCTCCCACTAGTGTCGCATATTCATCACACCACTGACTCAGTTCTTTATAAAGATCATTTTGTATAATGGGCCAAGAATCTTCCCCGAGCCCTAATGACGCAACAATGCATCTATAACCACAGTGACCATCAGCAACGACATCAACAACATTGAGAATG